AAATGCCTTATTTATTTGCTGTCAAGCAGCAAGTAAACCCAAGTCTGGGAAACCACCAGGGAAGTCAAAACCAAGCAAGTTCAATCAAGAACTCTACAGCCAAAAACATACATATCAATCAATATACACCAGATGTACGTTCTGAGACAGGTCTTTTTAAAAGGAGTGTTACTGGCATTTTGGGCAATTCTTTGTCTTGCAGTACTGTTTCTAACGTGGCAGGATGTTCAACATTGCTGTCTCTTCCTACCCACCCCCAACACCACTGTTGTCTCAATCCAAACTCCCAGGGAGGATTGGGCAGTACCATCCCCGATTGAGAACCACTGTGCTGATGATCAGGAATGTCAATCTTAGCACTTAGCTAGCTTTCTGGTGATGTAGCAGAGGCTTTTCTCCCTCTTTAATGTGTCTTGGCAGGTGCAACGGACACTGGGAATGTCACATGACCGACATGTTGCTGCCACTGCACATACCCCACAGGGTTTCCTCATAGACTCCTCTCAGAATGTTCGAGGCCAGATAAACTTCTCTACCAAAGAGACAGGTCTGTTTTAATCACCACAGTTACTGTAATAATCATAAGTGTCTTTGAAACTGGGTCAATAATGAGGAAGTACTGAAATTACTCAAGTACATGAAATGTAAAAGCTCTGGGTTTTTCACACAGGGATAATCAAACAGTAGGGGGACTAAACTGCCTTGAACACCAAAAACTATCCTTCCAACACCAACATCAAATCTTTATTGGAGATTGCTGGCGGCAGAGGACATAAGTGACAGGCTGTCCACTGGCAGATTCGGGACAGGGTCTCCAGGTGACTAATTATTGTAACTCCAGGGTCCAGAAGCTCAGTTTTATCTCATTGCCTGCAACTGACCAGGTTATGAGAAAGTGACCAAAATAGACCCACTTATAACACAGAATCCCAATTAACAAATTTATTATAGGATAGCATTTCTTTCTAGTTATCAGAATACTTGAGGCAGTTACTAAACAGCAGACTCAGAAGGAAAGGAAACGCATAGCCATGAAAATATCCACATTCCACAACAAAGCACTTCTCCAGTCACCAGAAAACTTCTACAGCCAGATCGAGTCTGTCCCCACCTTGGACAACATGGGTCAGTTTTTTGGGTTTTTTTGTTTTTTCCAAGAGCGAGCGAGCGAGAGTGCAAGCACACACGTGAGCAAGCACACAAGTGGGGGAGGGGCAAAGGGAGAGGGAGAAGCAGACTCCCCACTGAGCAGGGAGCCTGACATGTGTGGCTTAATCCCAGGACTCCACGATCATGACCCAAGCCCAAGGCAGATGCTTAACCAACTGAACCACCCAGGTACCCCCCGGCATGGGGTCAGTTTTAATTGCCCTATCAGCTGGGTATACGAAAAAAGACAATGTTTTTCAACCGGGGCATAAAACAATCCATTGTGTAGCACAGGATATTCAGCATCTTTGGCCCCTACCTGCCAGTAGTGCCTTCCAATCATTTTGACAATCAGATACACTGCCACACCTTTCTAATCCTGCTCCTCCCCACTCCCAAACACACAAAAAGGATGGCGACACCAGTTAAGAACCAGCACCAGTACATACCCTAAACCATCAGTTCCTGTACAAACCACCTTGCAGAAGTTACTCCATCCAGCAGAATAGCTTCTTTCATTCAAAACACATCAATTTTTTCTCTAGTTTCAAGTTCAAGATGGTATCCCCCAGCTCTAATGGTATACAAGAAGTAGGAAAACACCACGCTCTTAATTTCAATTCATTTTGTTAAACAAAAGTTTCAATAAGAGATGTGAGAAATATAAGTTGAAAAAGACGGAGAAAACATTGTTTTCAATCTAGTACAGAACTTAGTAAATTTACTTACAAATTTACTGATTTATAGAACTAAGTTACTAATATTTGGCAAAACACAGTATTGTAACTGGTACTTAGTAAAGTAAGTTCCATGGAAGATCATATAAGGTCTTCCACATCAAAAATTGAATCTTTCTACTTCCTAAGTAAAAAGAAGGAACTACAGTAGCACCTTTAACACTGGTAAACATGTATCTCCAGGGAAATCTAGAGGGTGGTAGGTCAACAAAGGGTGGAGACCAAGATTTGGTAATGATCTAGGGATTCCTACAGGTTTTTATCAGCTTTGTCTAAAGAATCAGCAAAATCACTTTGGTTCTGTGCAAGTGTACCTCAATTTTGGAGTCTTCTATGAGGGGCCTGAGATGGACCACAAACAGAAGAATGAAAGAAAACAACTGAATGATACTCTGGATGCAATTGAGGTAACTATTTTGTGGGAGATTGTGGAAACATCCTTGGAAATGGGTAATATCATCTGAGTGAGCGCTCATTTGGGGAGAAACCAAACAGGCTCAGGGATCTGAAACCTTTAATTTTTAGGACTTGGAGCTCTTGAAACTCCTCACTTGTTTTATACCAGGAGTTGGCAAACTATGGTACACAGACCAAATCTGGGCCACTGCCCATTTGTCTTTTTAATTAAGATAGAATTCACCATTTTAAAATGTACAATTCTGCGGTTTTTAGTATATTCTCAAGGTCCTGCCACTATTGTATCTAATTCCAGAACAGTTTCATCACCCCAAAAGAACTCCATACCTTTTAGTCACTCTTCCTTCTCCATGCCCCCCTCCCAGTCCTGGGCAATCATTCACTAATCAACTTTCTGTTTCTATAAATTTGCCTATTCTGTACATTGTATGAGTGGAATCATACAATGTGGTCTTTGTTTCTGGCTTCTTTCACTTAGCATGTTCTCAAGGTTGATCCACATTGTAACAAGTATTAGTACTTCATTCCCTTTTATGGATGACTAATATTCTCTTGTATGACTATACCACATTTTGCTTATCCACTCATCAGCTGATAGACATTTGGGTTGTCCACTTTTTGGCTATTATGAATAATGCGGCTATGAACATTTGCATGACGTTTTTTGTAAACATGTTTTCATTTCTGTATACCAAGAAGTGGTATAATCTGGTGGGTCATATGGTAACTGTTTAACTTCGTAACTGCTATTTTTCAGTAGCTAAACCATTTTACACTCCCACCAGCAGTATCTGATGGTTTCAATTTCTCCACATCTTTGCCAACATGCCACTGTCTCTTTTATTATAGCCATCCTAGTGGGTGTGGAGTTGTATCTTATGGTTTTGAGTTCTGGCTCCCTAATGGCTAAGGACATTGAGCATCTTTTCATGTTTTTTGGCCATTTGTATATCTTCTTTGGAGAACTGTCTATTCAAATCCTTTACCCATTTTAAAATTGGGTAGTCTTTTTATTGAGTTATTAAGTTTTTTATATATTCTAGATATAAGTCCTTTATCAGGTAAGTGATTTGCAGACATTTTCTCCATTCTGTGGGATGTCGTTTCACTTTGATAGTATTTTTCAGTGCACAAAAGCCCACTGCCTGTTTCCGTAAATGAAGTTTCAATGAAACATAGCTATGCTCATTTGACAATTACATATGGCTGCTTTTGTGCTAACAATAGCGGAGTTTGGTAGTCGCAACAGAGATTGTATTGCCTGCAAAGCCTAAAATATTTACTATCTGGTCCTTTAATAAGTTTGCAGGCCCTCGTCTTCTACCATATACAAAGAACAGAAGACATTGCCAGAACGGCAATGACGTACGGAATACGTGCCTAAATCTAAAAATACTCTGAAAGAGCTTTCTAGTTTCAGCACTGAAATTTTTCATTATAAAATTATATCTTTTTAAACTGAAGTCCAGACCTTTTTTTTCATATACAGCAAAACCAGCTTTACTAACAACTACAATAATCAACTTACTACATATCATAAAATTATGAGTAGGTTACTCAACTTCCAGATAACTTAGATTAGCGCTTGTGAGCACCCAGGTGAGACTAGATGGGAGGTAGGGAGGACCCTCTTTTTATTTCATTTTCTGTCCCACAGGAGAGTACACGGAAGGTGCAAAACAATATCTTTCACATGTGGAGATACTACAACTTTGCCCGCATGAGGAAAACAGCTGACTTTTTCCTTCTCCAATCAAATTATAACTATGTGAACTGGTGGTCGACAGCTCAAAGCCTCGTTATTGTTCTTTCTGGAATCCTGCAGCTGTATTTCTTAAAGCGTCTCTTCAATGTCCCGAAGACTACAGACACAAAAAAGCCAAGATGCTAAGCCAAAATGACTATAGCACCTTAGCTCTTTTCTTCTGGGGCAGAAGCTTTGTCAAAGTTTCAGTCAAATAAGCTTTGTAAAGTTACTGGAAAAAATCAATTTATCTTGTTAGAACATCTTAATCTATTGCTCTCCTTTCCTCTCCAATTGCCTCAAAATGGCAAAAAAATAATAAATGTGCAAGTTTTGACATTAACTATTACTAGAGTATGTACTAAATGCTACCATCAAAATACTGTTCAAAATACAGTAGTCCCTTAACCTTTACTAAGTCTGTTTAGAGTTAACACAGAACCTTGGGAGAAAAGAGTTGAAAAAATGGGACAAAACATATCTCAGTTTTATATGTTACATACAAAAACAGGAATTGGTAGACTGCTTTTTTGTAGTTAAAAATTTTATTTTTAGAGATGTCACCTTTGGAATTTAAAATAAGCAGGAAAAAAAGAAAAAAGCAATATATTTAAAGAAATGTTTTATAATACAGGCAGTTTTAAAAAACTTAGTGGAATTTTTTCATTTCTAAAAAATATTTCAGTAATTCCAAAAATAATTTTGTCAGGCATGGGCAAGGTTGGAGGAGCTGAATTATTTCAGTGGTCTCTGATTAGTGCTTTCTGTCTAGTCCAGTCAGGTAAGTAAAGGTTTGTAAGGGAAATCATGTTTTAAGAAATCTAGGTGATGAAAAAAACATTAGCCTGGGATCATACCATCTAAGAAAAAGGAGAACAAGAACCAAGATATATAATCAAACTATACTCATGAGATCCTATCCTTAGTAATAGAAATACCCAGTATATGCAATATAAAAATAATTCTTACCATTTATTTAAACCTAACATTTGCCAGGCACTGTGCTAAGTGCTTTACAAACATGATTTCTAATTCTAAGACCATTCGTAGGTAGATGGTTAAAGCTGTTTTTTGAAGCAGAAGAAAATAAGCTTATCAAAGTTTAATGACGCCTCTAAAGCCATATAGCTGGTAGGTGTGAGAACTGGGGTTTGAATCCAAGGTTTTCTTGCACACCACACAGAACCTACTATATAGAAAATTAGCAGAATAAATTGCTATTATTTTATCCAAATTTCATTTGTAAAATCCCATACATGACCTACCGTTCTAATATGGCAATATCTGACTTTCATGGTATTAATAAATAACGAAGAAAATCTATTGTGTTCTTATCGTGAGTTTGGAAAACAGTGTTATCACAGATAACAATAAGCTAGCTATTCTTGTCCTCAGTTCCAATGACTTAGAACCTGTTACTCAAGACAAGAAGCCCTCTGATTCAAATACAAAACACAGTATTCTATTTAGTCACAAAGATCCGAAACACCGTTTTTGAGCCATTTCCGCATAAGAATCCAGCCTGCATTCGTCCGTAATAGAAAGAATATTAAACTAAGAAGTCCCTGAAGAAGTCACAGTGTTGACAAAATTCAACATGATGATGGAGCCTACACAGACACAGGAAACAAAGCTAGGCCCTTCCACACAGCCATAAGTCCTCGCGATGATTTCGTTTTAAGTCAAAGTCTCTTCATGCCGCACATATTCCCCAATGTCTGCTTGATGAAATACCACAATCGCCATGGGGTCTACTTTCCTGCAGTCTTGTGTAGACTTTGCTGCCACCCCAAAACCCTGGGATTCAAAAGAAGAGACACTGATTCACTCAAGTCATTCAATAGGCACGCATTGAGGGGTAGAAATAATGAAGATGAAAAAAACAGTTCTTTGAGAAATTTGAAAGGTGCTAAGAATTTAGTCTCTGAAGCGCACAGACTGAAAATACATCCTTCTTGATTAAAAAGATACTTGATTTTTGTAACAGCTACCATCTCTACTCACCAAAGGGACGTCTGCCATGGAGTACACCACCACTCCCTGGTACTGACAAGTATTTTCGGTGATTCGACCCAGTCCAGATTTCAACACATGGTTCCCATAAAGGAAGGACTGTTCTGCTCCAGGCTTTATCCACACTTTATACTACAAAAAAACAGAATTAAATCCAAGAGACATTAAAATGCTAATTGTTGTATCCCTGCAGATAAGCCAGCTGCTGGATATGTGATTAATTTCTTGAAAGCATTTTAAGGAAAAGAGAAAAACGGATGGTTATCTCAAATTGTTCACTCTCTAGAAGAACTACCAGGACGTTCTTTCTTCAACTCTACAATCTCTCTCATGGATAGTTTAAAAGCTCTTTTTCTGGATCCCACTATGCTCTCACCAAAACCACCAATTTGATTGTTTTTGAGTGAGGTCTGCATAGGCTTTTCTACTCTGCTGGACCTAACTACGACTATGCAACCGCACAGCATTCCCATGCCAGAACCCCAACCATACCCAAGCAGCAAGTCCTGCAAACATCTCCATGTGCTGGCACTGACTCAGTGGCAGCGAAGCTGCCCAATTATCTGCTTTCTCACGTGGCCCTCATCTTTGACTTCCTTCATCCCCAGTGGCCGAACGAATACCACCCTACAAACCTTGGCATAGGGTGCAAGGTAATCCAGAGCTGTGATGTGCAACCGGAACTTGTGAGTCTTAGTGAATTTTCCGAAGCAGGTCCCCAGCGACACCAGCTTGTCCCCAGAGATATTGGCGGCCAACTTCAGAATCTTCTCACTGAAGGGGTAAGGAAGAAGAAGGTGTCAGATGAGGGAAGCTGGTGGGACCCAGCCTCCACCCGGGTCCATTGCTGTCCACCCAGCACCGCCTCACCTCACGTAGTACACCCGGTCGTTGTGCAGCCTGAAACAGTAGGTGCCGTCGGGCCTGTCGACCAGCAGCTGAAGGTTCTCCCCGACGCTGAAGGCAAAAGGAGGACTGGAGACAGCGCCCCAACAGACTCCTCCCGGCCCCGCGCCCCCACTCTACCCGCGCCCTTCCCGCCACACACACATTTCCCCTTCCCCTCCGCGCCCTCTTACTATTTCGCTATCTTCTCAAACATTACGCGGGTCTCTTCTTCAGTCAAAGGCCGCATTTTCCCGCTGGGTTACAACACCGAATCCGCGTGCCTCAGAGGCCGGAAACGGAAGTCAGCCGCCGGCCGCTCCCCGGCAACCCCAAAGCCTGCCTCTCTAGCCGCCTTCAATTTGTTCCCCACGCCAGCGCCCCGTAGCCTGGAGGACCGTCGGGAAAGAAAGCCGGCCGGATACGAACCCCCGGCTGCTTCCGGCCCTAGATTCTGAGCCAGCGCCCTCGCTGGGCCGGAGGGGAAGTGACGCTGCTGCCGGAATATGGCGGCGACGGCGGCAATCGCTTCGTCAACCACGGCCTCTGCCACGGCGACGGTCACTGCAGCGGCTCTCGGGGAAGTGGAGGATGAAGGGCTCCTGGCATCGCTGTTCCGAGACCGCTTCCCCGAGGCCCAGTGGCGGGAGCGGCCCGACGTGGGCCGCTACCTCCGGGAGTTGAGCGGCTCCGGGCTGGAGAGGCTGAGGCGCGAGCCCGAGCGCTTGGCGGAAGAGCGAGCGCAGCTGCTGCAGCAGACGCGCGACTTGGCCTTTGCCAACTACAAGACCTTCATCCGAGGCGCCGAGTGCACCGAGCGCATCCACCGCCTCTTTGGCGACGTGGAGGCGTCGCTGGGCCGCCTGCTCGACCGCTTGCCCAGCTTCCAGCAGAGCTGCAGGTGCGGCGGGCTCGGCACTAAAGGGGCTTTTAGCAACTGTAATAGCTGACATTTATGATGAAAGAAATAGCTAACACTTACAAAGCACTTACCATGCATGGGTCAGGCTCTCCTCTGAGCATTTTAAAAAATCCATTTAAGCTTCACAACAGCTTTGGAGGTAGGTACTGTTATTCCCATTTAATGTTATGAGTAAGTTGAGACAGCTTAGGAATCGTCGAAGAGGCTCTTGGAAGCTAGTAAGTTTCCAAGTTAGAATTGGACACCAGCAGCAACTCCCTCATAGGACTGTTGTGAGTCTTAGAGAATACATGCAAAGCACTTATCGTTGGGTCTGACATAGCTAACACTCTGCAGTTGTCAGCTATAATATACACACGCGGACCGTCCAAAACTTTCATTGAGAGAAGTCTGACAATGAAATCTTTCCATTTGGAGGCAGCAAAAATTATCAAAAAAATCTCTCTTTCTTAAGCCATATTCTACCTCTCTAGATCCTCAGTCTCTTATCCTTAATTCTGCCTTTCATGGTAAAAGTTTAAGTTGTGAGTCTTTGGATATTTGACAATAGCTTCTGTACCCTTCCACCCTCCAGAATAGATAGAAGACTTCATAAAGCAGGTCTCTGCAATTATGGAGAAGTGAAGACTGTGGAATTAAAAGTGGAACAGCAGCCTAAGAGAAGATTAAGGGGCTGAGGGAATTTGAGGGTGAGGTTGTAGTTTTTTTTTTTTTAAGATTTTTATTTATTTATTTGACAGAGACACAGCAAGAGAGGGAACACAAGCAGGGGGAGTGGGAGAGAGAGAAGCAGGCTCCCCACAGAGCAGGGAGCCCGATGTGGGGCTCAATCCCAGGACCCTGGGATCATGACCGGAGCCAAAGGCAGATGCTTAACGACTGAGCCACCCAGGCGCCCCAAGGTTGTAGCTTCTAAACTGGTTAGTGATCACAAAAAGAATAGCTATTATTAACATTTACTGTGTGTCAGGTTCTGTGTTAATTGCTTCATACACATCATCTCATTTAATCCTCACAGCCTTATGAGGTGGGTCCCACTACTATAGTACCAATGAGGAAAGAGTTCAGAGAGCCTAAGTACCTTGCCAACACCAGTTAAGTGGCAGATCTGGGCTCACATATTTTTATCATTTGTTAGTTGTGTGATCTTGGACAAGTTGCTTAGCCTCTCTGGGATTAAAGTTGCCTCAAGAGTAATAGTACTTACCTCACAGGTTTGGTGTGAAGATTAAATCATAAACCATCCAGCTCAGTGTTCAGTTCATAGTAAATGCTTGGTAATTGTAGCTAACTTTTGGATGTAGAGCAGTGAGCAACCAATATTCTCCTGTTTGTTACTAGAAACTTTGTCAAAGAGGCTGAGGAGATCAGCTCCAACCGCCGGATGAACACCCTGACTCTAAACCGGCACACAGAAATCCTGGAAATCCTGGAGATTCCTCAGCTAATGGACACCTGTGTCCGGAACAGCTATTATGAAGAGGCCCTGGAGCTTGCAGCCTACGTACACCGACTGGAAAGGAAATACTCCTCCATCCCTGTCATCCAGGTAGCCAAACTGACCCAAAAGCACTCAAAGTGATGTTCTTGTAATCAGTAATTCTGTGGTCATCACTGAACCTTTAGGCAGAAATCTTAGGGAAATTTTGCATGTTTCATATCGGTTTCTGCCAGCCAGACAGGTTTGAACATGAAACATTCATTCATTCATTCAACTGATAAATATTAATCATGTGCTAGACACTGATCTAGGTGCTGGGAAGACAATGAGACAAAGCAGAGAAGGCCCTAGTTTTCATGAATGTAAGTTGATAGTTGGCAAATAAATAAATAACATGATCCTTTCAGATAATGGTAACTGTCTGAAGAAAATAAATTAGGGAATGGGTAGAAGGAGACTAGGGTGAGGTACCCTAGATAGAGTGGTGAGGAAAGGCTCTGTTGGAGAGATAATATTTAAGCTGAGAACCAGATGACGAGAAGGAACCAGCCACACGAAGATGTGGGGAAAGAGCAAATAAGAAAGTGGAAAGAAAAGGTATAGCAGACTGACAAGGGGACAAGTTGGGAGTGTTTAAGAAATACAAAGACAGAAAAAAAAAAACAAAGCCAGTGTGACAGGATTGCAGTGAGCAAGGGGACAGAATTATGAAGCGGGTGAGGCAGGAGAACAAAACAGGGCCTCTAGGCCACAGTGAATAGTTACATATGGCCACAGTGAATTAGATCTTTGTTGGTAAGCCTGTACACATCAACTTTAGGAAATCTTCATATATCAGGAAAAGCAGTGGGAATGCTGATCTGCAGTATTCAGGGGTAGTGGAATGGATTCCTGGAAGTGTCTTTCCCAGTGTGGTGTGACTGACCCCCTATATTGTCAGGGCATTGTGAATGAAGTGCGCCAGTCCATGCAGCTGATGCTGAGCCAGCTGATCCAGCAGCTAAGAACCAACATCCAGCTCCCTGCCTGCCTCCGTGTCATTGGTTTCCTGCGGTGCATGGATGTCTTCACTGAGGCTGAGTTGAGGGTGAAGTTTCTTCAGGCCCGCGATGCTTGGCTCCGTTCCATCCTGACTGCCATCCCCAATGATGATCCCTATTTCCACATCACAAAAACCATTGAGGCCTGCCGTGTCCATCTGTTCGATATCATCACCCAGTACCGTGCCATATTCTCCGATGAGGACCCTTTGTTGCCCCCTGCCATGGGTGAGCACACTATGAATGAGAGTGCCATCTTCTATGGCTGGGTGCTACAGAGAGTCTCACAGTTCCTGCAGGTGCTGGAGACCGACCTTCACCGGGGAATTGGTGGTCGTCTAGACTCTTTGCTGGGTCAGTGCATGTACTTTGGGCTGTCCTTCAGCCGGGTGGGGGTTGATTTCCGGGGCCAGTTGGCTCCTGTTTTCCAGCGGGTGGCCATCAGCACTTTCCAGAAAGCAATTCAGGAAGCAGTGGAGAAGTTCCAGGATGAAATGAATTCCTACACCCTCATCTCAGCTCCAGCCATCCTGGGCAGCAGTAATCTGCCTGCTGCTGTGCCAGTCACTCAGCCGGGGACGCTGCAGCCACCCATGGTGCTCTTAGATTTTCCACCCCTCGCCTGCTTCCTCAACAATATTCTGGTCGCCTTCAATGATCTGCGCCTCTGCTGCCCTGTGGCCCTGGCACAGGGTGTTACTAGGGCCCTGGAGGACGCCCTTGCCAAGGTGAGCACATCCTGTTGGCTCTCTACTGGGGCTTTCTTTGGTAACAGGTGGCCAGACTTTTGTAAAAAAATAAACCAGTTTATGTGATAGGTGGTTGCAGACTTAGGCTTAGTGGGGTTTTAGAGATTTTTCTGATTGAGAAGCTCTGGTTAGTCCCCCATCATGGGACCTAGAACAATTCATGAAGTGGCTCACCTGTAATAATGATTCAGTAAAGTATTAGTTTTCTACTGCTGCATAACAAACACAGCAGCCTAAAACAACATATTTATTTTTTCCCAGTTTCTTTGGATTGGGAGTCCTGGGTCCTCTGCTCAGGATCTCAGAAGGTTACAGTCAAGGTGTTGGCCAGGCCACAGTCTCATCTAAAGCTTGGGGTCCCCTTTCAAGCTCATTCATGTTGGCAGATTTCTGTTCTTTGCAGTTGTAGGTTTAAGGCCTTCAGGTCCTAGAAGCCACCTCACTCCATACAGTGTGGCTTTCTGATTCTTCAAGGCCAATGGAGAGTAACTCTCCTCCAGTGAGTCTCTTCTTTTAGGGAAATCCTCAACCCTTTTTTTTTTTTTCTCAACCCTTTTTTAAAAGGCTTATCTGGTTGAGTCAGGCCCACCCAGGATATCCCTTGATTAACTCAAAGTCAACTGATTAGGGGCTTTGATTACATCTGCAAAATCCCTCATCTTTGCCATATTCTATTGGTTAGAAACAAGCCACACATCCTGCCTGCAATCAAGGGGAAGGGATTACACAAAGGAGTGGATACCAGGGGCTGGGATTCAAAAGAACCATTTTAGAATTCTACATAATACAAGAAATACTACAACTAATGGTATCCTGCACATTTTTTACATATTTAAACCTTTAGATATTGGGATGTTTCTTACAACTTATGGCATCTTATAATTGCTGTCAGCCAGATGGCACTTGTGACATGGTTATATAAAATCTTTCTGGGCCCAGCTCTCTCACTTTTGAGCTTGCCCACTCTATCTCAAGAGTGTACTTTTTGCTTTAATAAACTTTCCCACTTGTGTTACTCAAAAAAAAAAAAAAAAATGTTAATGCCCTCCTGTAAGAGAAAGAAAGCATGAGCATTGAAACTTTGTAGTCAATGAAATTCAGGTAATAGTAATCTGCTAATATTTATATAGAACTTACTCCATGCCAGGTAGTGTCCATCATATTTTATACCTATTAAGACTTGATCCTCACAACCCTAAGAGGTAGGTCCTGTTGCAGGCCCTACTCTATAGATAAGGAAACTGAGGAACAGAGGGCACAAAGTGTTTAAGTAATCACTTGGAAGTCACAAAGCCAGCAAGTGGCACAGCTAGGACTTGGAAGCAGGAATGTCAGCTAGGTTGTTCTGTTATTTGTATGTGGAACTTCTTTTCTAGCTCTGTGTTCTTTTATAATTTTCTAGTGGTCTAGCTTCCTGGAACCTCAACTACCTTACTCAGTAAAAACCTTTTATAGTTTGGCTTCATTTTCCTGGATCCAATATAGTTCTGGTCATCTCCTTTAGGAATCAAGAACCTCTTGATGCTCTTCCACTGCAAGTGGAAAGTGTGCCAGTAATGAAACAAGTTGGGTTTGGGTCAGAAATACATTAGTGAAGTGACAGAACTGTGGAGAGTGACAATTCTGAATTTAAACAAGACAGTAATATAATGTACTGTTTGGAATGACTTTCTTTATGAAAACTTGAGGGCTGCACATTTGTGCTTAGTTTCAGGTACTGCTGATGGTGATAGACTACTCTAGTGACTGATGGTGCCCTTGTCTCCTAGGTAACCAAAACAATCCTGGCCTTCCATCGCGCAGAAGAGGCTGCTTTCAGCAGTGGGGAGCAAGAGCTCTTTGTCCAGTTCTGCACTGTCTTCCTGGAAGACCTTGTTCCTTATTTAAATCGCTGTCTCCAAGTCCTTTTTCCACCAGCTCAGATAGCACAGACCTTAGGTAAGAGAAAGGAGGGGAAAGCTCTTTAAAACTACTTTATTGATATAATTCATATACTAAACAAAATTCACCCATTTGTAAAACTCAATGTTTTTTAGTAAGTATACAGAGATGTACAATCATTACCACTATCCAATTTTAAAATGTTTCCATCACCCCAAAAAGATCCCTGCAACCCAATGTAGTCATTCCCCGATCCCACTGTTAGCCCCTGGCAACCCCTAATCAGCTTTCTGTTACCGTAGATTTACCTTTTCTGGACATTTCATATAAATTAAATAATACAGTATGTGTATATCTGGCTAAGTGGAAGAAGCTAGTCACAGGAGAACCACCTACTGTAGGACTCTATTTATATGAAATGTCCAGAGAAGGTATTTTAAAAAGATTTTTCCTAATTTGTCTTCACTTCCCTGTGCCCACTCTCTCTGTGCCTGGAGTGGGGGCCGGGGGAGGCAGAGCTTCCCTTAGGGCAGTCGGCCAGTGGCCACACCAGCAGAACTGCTGTTGGCCACTTTCCCCCAGCTTTCTCCTTGGGCCTGGCACAGGGAAGCCAGTGCCTTCTGAGGTTCTCTTGGCTTTTAACTCGATCCACCCTCCACTGTGTTATTGCAGATTACCTTCAAAGTCTCGCCTTATAGTATAGTTTCCTGTCCCATATCACGAAGATGACTTTTACTGTATGGAAATGTGGAAACTGTCCTGTAAGTTTTTCTCCCGTGACACATCAATATTTAAATTTATTTAACGTTTTTTCTATTTCACTTTCTCTACCTTCTGGGTCAGGCATTCCACCCACTCAGCTCTCCAAGTACGGAAACCTTGGGCATGTGAACATCGGCCTCGTCCAGGAGCCTCTTGCCTTCCTCCTGCCGAAGAGAGAGCTGGTCCTCTGTCTAGATGAAAAGGAGCTGGTGCCGGAACTCGCAGCTCCAGCACCCGCCGCCGAGGAGTCAGGCTTGGAGTCCGTCGCTGCAGCTCGCCCTGAGGATGCGCAGGAGCAGGCGGACTCAGCCGAGGCGCCGCAAGCTGAGGCGCCCGGTGCGGACCCCTAGCCGGCGCCCCTGCACTCAGCCGCGGCGCGGCCCGGGACACGGGATGGCCAGAGCTTCCTGCCGCGCCCGCGGGGAGGCGAGGCCGGCCTCGGAGAGCACCGGGCAGCCCCATGGGGGAGGCTCCAAACGCATTCGTGACAGCAAACGAAAGGGGGAACCTCTGTGTCACGCTCGCCAATGGTTGATTATACAGTAAAACACGGAATTCACTAATAAAGCTGCTGACGTCACGGAGGCGGGCCGAGCTCTGGGGGCAGCGCTGGCGCTCCCGGAAGGCGCGCGGGAACTCTGCTTCCCGGCGTCCCCCGCGACGGGAGGGCTCGCCTACCGGGGCCGGGGAGGGCGGCGGCGGTCGGGCGGCTGTGCTCGGCGCACCGGGGGCAGGATGGGAGCCGGGCTGCTACTGGGGACGCTGCTGGTGCGGACGCGTCACTGCTTGGGGCCGGCCCCACCGTGGGGAGGGGGAGCGGCGGCCGGCGGCGCCCGGGCCTGCAGTTCCGCGCCCGCCCGGGACGGCCTCGAGGGCCCGGCGCGCCGGCGGTCCTACTGGCGCTACGTGCGGCGTCTGGTGCGGGGCGCGCCCGAGCCGCCGTACCCGCGCGTGTGCCAGGTCGGGGACCCGGCGCTGCGGGCCGTGGCGGCCCCGGTGGACCCGGCGCAGCTGGCGGGGCCCGAACTGCAGAGGCTGGTGCAGAGGTTGGTGCAGGTGATGCGGCGCCGACGCTGCGTGGGCCTGAGCGCTCCGCAGCTCGGGGTGCCGCTGCAGGTGCTGGCTTTAGAGTTCCCCGAGGCGCTCTTCCGCGCCTGCGCGCCGCCCCTGCGCGAGGCCCGCCAGATGGAGCCCTTCCCCCTGCGCGTGTTCGTGAACCCCCGCCTGCGGGTGCTAGACAGCCGCCTGGTCACCTTCCCTGAGGGCTGCGAGAGCGTCGCGGGCTTCCTGGCCTGCGTGGCCCGCTTCCAGGCCGTGCAGATCTCAGGTGCGGGGGGTCGGGGGGGGGTCGGTGGCTTTGGGGAGGTTGGGTAAACGCGTGCGTCTCTTCCCCCCGCCCATGGAGGCGGCGACCTCGGGTCCCATGAAATAGTTTTCGCAAAGCTCCAGTAAAGCGCAGACTTGTGAAAGTGTAGGCTCAGGGAAGCCTCCCGGCAAAACCCTGAAGTGGACATGATTCAAGACTGACCTATTGGGATGGGGATGGCGGCCAGTGTGACAGCAGAGCCAGCTCCTCGGGGGCGTGGTTTGGGCTGGGAACGTGGCCTAGTTCCAGTGTTGCCGCACTCCAGGTCCTCTGCTCTGTGCCCTCTCCCTCGCTGTCTCGCACACATACATTCTACCCAATTGGAGCCATCGTGGTGGAATGGGAGAAGTGGCACGCAGCTTTGCCCAGCCCAGGGTGATAAGCCACAGGATGTTTTGTGGAATCTGATTTGTTGCTGGAGTTGGAATGATTGTTCCTCTTGAGTAGGCCACTTGGTCCAGGTCAGAAAGTAAATGGTATCCCTTTATTTTATAGTGTACCAAGTTGAAAGACTTTTAGGAATTGAAATAAATCAGCAGTATCAGAAATGGGAGGAATGTTCAGAAATGAAGCACCTTAGGAAGATCATTTCTCATCTCAGCCCCATAGTAAGTCCAGCAACCTAATTGTCAGCGTTAGAACCACACTGAATACTTGGTAATGGGTAGAGTTGAGGCATCTTTTCTGGGAAGAATAGGGGCTGCTGTCTACATTCCCTTCTGATGTTGCCTCTTGTCAACAGGAACAGCCAGAGGCAGGGAAAAGGTAAGGAGATTAAAAATGATGCAGTTAAGCATATCCTTACCCAGGCTGTAACTTACTTTGCAGGGCTGGACCCCAAAGGGGAGCAGGTGGTGTGGCAGGCGAGTGGATGGGCAGCACGTATCATCCAGCATGAGATGGACCACTTGCAGGGCTGCCTGTTCATTGACAAAATGGACAGCAAGACGTTTACAAACATCTACTGGATGGAGGTGAATGATTAAAATTTTCCTGCTGCATCTGAGGATTCTGGAAATGAAAACAGAAACACTTGGGATTTGAGCTGGGCATGGCTTGCCTGTTACCAACTTGATGTTGGGTTGGCTCTGACAGAAAACAGTGAATTGCCAAACCAGGTTGGAGGAATATATCAAAAATGTTTGCCCTGAAATCATCCATGGACAAAATATTGCCTTCAACATGAAAAGAAAATGAACTCCCCCAAAGAGTAGACATTTCCTGATGATTTTGTATGGTAAAAAGTGGGGCAGATAACCACTCCTAGTAGACATTTCATAGACCTGTATGATCTATCCCAAAGCCAAGATTTGATAATGACATAGTCCTCAAATATCTGAAAGCTGTTTAAAAATGCAGGTTAAGACTGTGGTTGACCATCTTCACTGAGTTCTTATTTTTACAAAGGGCTTGTGTGTCTTACCTGCAGAGTCCTTTGCCTTGGACAACAGTTTGCTTGTGTAAGTAAAACAGAACAGAATGGCCACAGTTCATGAAGTGTTTAATGACAGTATTAACATAAATGAGTACCTGCACATTTTACCAGGTTCACAAGTTTTGGTCTCCACCTTCTGCCTTTAATTTAACAGATTTGGGGATGATTTTCCTGCTAAGATTTCTCGGGCAGCTTCTATTTGGCTCATTCTTTTTGGTGGAGCTCATGGATCAGGGCTAGGGGTGGGATGATAGTTGACGAAGCAATGAACCTCTTCCTGTCACAATTAGAAAAGAAAGAGAGAGCAAAACTTGTGCTTCCTGGTCACCACACTTATTTTGGAAAAATAAATTAGCATCACCCTGGCCAATGATAAGCCTTAAGACACTGTCAGAGCTTTTTGCAAGAAGTGAAGGAACTTGTTTCTCTAGATACTGGTCTTGCCTCATTTCTATGTTGAGTTTTGCAACATGGGTACTCTTACCAGAGTCCTCAAAATCCTATTACCCGTGTAGTAAGTCCAGTAAGTTGTTTAGAAAAAACTTGTTTTACACAGTAGTTAACTAAACGAACCCGGTATGGCTTTCTCTAAACAGGCCACCCTCTGGGGGCCTAAGAGGTCAAGCAAAAGGGAACTGGCTCTCTCTGCATTAAACTTTGGAAGGGAGTAAGAGCCGGCACTGCTCCAAGGTGAGGTTAGATACTCCACTACGGGGAAAGTCTGTAGAAAACTCTCATTTATACTATAAACATGGATCCTTATGAAAATGAGGATTCAGTGACCTTCCTTTCCCTTGACAATGTTCAGAAGCTCCTGCAGGGTGGCTTCAGAATACTCAGAAGCTTCCTTACAATGCTCTGAGGTTAACAGTCCTTACTGATGCCTTTGTAATGTAGATCAGTAACATTTGCCTGTAGCTTCCTGACCTGGGGACCCAAGAGTATGTGGTTGCTCAGAGTGGACCTTGGAGAAAGCCTGAAACTCTCTATTACTGACAACATGAGGTTTACTACTGTAACCAAATCCACCAAGGAGGATTTGTGCAACTAGCTACTACAGCCCAAAGCAGCAAATCTGCATTTCTAATAAAATCTCACCCACCTCAGGGAGCTGTATCAGCCACAATAACCACACATACAAATCAGCCTCTTGAGCTAAGGAAAGTTTTAGAAGTCAACTACCGAAGTCAAAGCCAAGGTAAACAGAAGGTTTAGGCCAGAATTCCCAAGTAGGGAAGAGTGAATTTCAGAGTTAGCATTTAGGGGAGGAAATACATGGCTCACCTCTGCACCTGTGAGCCATGTATAACATGGATGGTGAGGCATGCCATCAGTCTGAGGTGACTTCGGCCTCACATGTGAGTAGGACATCCATCACCCTGCATCCTGTCACCAGTGGTGGAGAGAAGAATGGAGAGGCGTGGCATCTGTGATAGCCGTGACCAGAGCTATGAAGATGAACCACAGCAGCCCCAGTTTCTGTTAACCCCTGTGACTTGCCAGGGTGTCTGAGCAGTAGAAAGGAAGATTTTAAAAATAAAGCAAGGAACTTCTGATTCAAGTAAAGGTGACTGGAGGTAGAGTAAGAAAACACAAGTAGCTAAAATGAAGGAGTACGAGTCGGGCAGTGTCCTGTGCCGGCTTCTAGTCCAGCATTTACCAACAGTAACTAGTGGCTCAGGGCACCTAACTAAAGCGAGAGCCACGGGAACTCCTGAGTGACAAAGATGCTAGCCACGGATGCTGCCAAGGCGTCACCTGGTCAGGCCTGCTGAGGCACCTGGTATTGAGGCAGGGCTAATGTACCCACACTGGAGAGGGGCACTTGGACCCAGGCCTTCAAGGAACCAACAAAAGTTGGCTCAATTCAGCCATTCCTAACCAAATCAAAGACCACCATGGTGCAAGGCTACTGTAATCTAAGAGTTGGCCACATCATCAGTTCTGGACAATCCGGGTTTTAGTAAGACCTGGAGCAATCATCACAGCTTTTGGAGGGGAAGGGGAAGTAGACCAGCCAGATGGCAGGCCTTTTGTGTATTCCTATGCACACAGTCAAGCAGCACAGCCTCCTACTCAGCATTTTTAGGGCTGCCAGGTCTAGAGCCTTGGGGGGGGGCGGGCGGGAGGGTGTCTCAAGATCAGGAGTCACAAATTCAAATGGTCACAGGGGCTAGGCAGGCAACCTGGAGGACTGAAGCAGTGCATGTGGAGATGGGTGAGCTGGAGAGAGTGTTCTGCTTCTGAGCAGGGCAGCCCCTCCTTGGCTGTCGCTGACAGGCTGCCTCATGGGGACGCCGGCCCAGCAATGCCTAATCTCCCAGAAGCCAGAAATCTGCATTTCACATCAACTCTTGATTTTTCAATGCTGGCAGCAGACCAAACCAAACACAGCTGCAGGCCATGTCTGGGCCACAGGCCTCCCAATCTGCAGGAAGAACTGTCCAGGTGCCACATGTGCAAGGCCCCCGGGGGTGGGGGTGGGGGGTGTCTGGCCAGCCTGACTAGAGAACAGGCGTGGGAACTGCGGCAGGTTGGCAATACCCTCCTCTGATGA